GTAACAAGAAGCTATTAGTAACAAGTGCCTCGCTAGTAGTAACAGGTTCGTTACTAGTAGTAACAAGAAGCTACTAGAAACAAGTGCCTCGCTAGTAGTAACAGGTGTCTTACTAGTAGCAACAAGAAGCTACTAGAAACAAGTGCCTCGCTAGTAGTAACAGGTGCCTTGCTAGTAGTAACAAGAAGCTACTAGAAACAAGTGCCTCGCTAGTAGTAACAGGTGCCTTACTAGTAGTAACTGCAAACAGAGGGCTTCACACCTTCTAGGTTATCAACCAAGGAGCCTGGTTCACAAGGCTTACAAACAAAGAGGGTCCAGGGTTCACACTGTTTCTCATGCGCCGACATGCGCGTGCGCGCTCAAGGGCCCTTACGGCCGCGGGAACAAAGGATGCAATCATCCACGAACGAAAGAAATCTTGCACTCCCTAAAATCTTCTTTCTCGTGAAGACCCGCTGGATCTGATCGCGGATCGACAGCACGGAGTGCAACCAAACCACGGGTGAGGACATCCCTCAAAAGGTGAGCTGGCTTGACCTTCGTTAAATGGTCTGCCAACTGGTGGAAAGTATCGATCCACCTAGACACCGAGCTCAGCTTCTCACCCTCAGGATCGAACTCGTTCGCGGTCTCCTTCAAGCCGCCGATGTCGATGGCCAGCCTCTTCTCTTGGGTGGATGCCAAAGGACCATCCTTGATGAGGATGTCGTACAGCGACCGGCAATCGGTCACAGCCTCAACCGGCACAAAGTTGGGCGGCAACCTTCCGCTCTGGAGCGGATTGTAGTCCTCCACCATGATCTCGGCGAGGAACTCACGCGCAAACACCGCCGACATCCATAGCCATGGTCTCACTGGCCAGCGTCGACAGGCATTGGCGCCGGATGCGGTGGCTCCTCCAGTCCAACAAGGAAGCGAAGTCGCCCTCCAAGGAGTCCACGCCGCTGCCTGCCAGGAAGACAAGTAGTCCAGCTTGTGACTTCAGCTCAGCTGCATTGGCCCAACTTGAATCGCTGAAGGCGATGAACTTCGCCTGCTCCATCGGGATGGGCCTGAACATCAAACCCCAATCAGCAGTCGACTGGGCCTCGATCACCAACTTGTTGAGCTGGATCAGGTTGGACACTGTGGGCTGTCCAGACATGTACAAAGACGTTGCGGCCGCCAGGTCGGGCCTTGTCTGGCCGACTAGCCAGTGGAGACAGCCGCCAAGCGAGCGTAGCTCTGTATGCTCTTGCGGAAGCAAAGGAGCATTTGGCGTCGAAGCACGCCACTTGGGAATCTTGGTAGTCGAAGAAGCTTGGATGAACTTCTTCTGCGTGAGCTTGACGATGCCGTTCTCCTTGGTGATCTGCTTCCCTCCGTACTCCAGGACTTCATCTTGGCGCGAATCCGCCCATGAACCGAAGTCAAAGGTCTTCTTGAGCTCCTCGAGGATGGCATCGGCTTCGGTAGGTTTTCCAGTGACAATCAAATCATCCACGTGGGCTCCCAAAACCAAAATAAGACGGCCCCGGCGGTAGTACGTGAACACAGCGCGGTCCAAGCGCGACTGCACGAAGCCCATGGTGAGGAGTGTGTCCCTCAAGCGTCGCCAAAAAAGGCGAGGGCTGTTCGCAAGGCCAAAGATGCCTCGCACCACCAGGAGCAGTTGACCAGGTAGGAGTCCAGGAAGTCCTTCTCGAGGTTGGCGAAGGTACAAAGGCTCCTTCCTGCTTGCCAGTGACTGGTCGCCCTGAAGAAAAGCTCCAGTGATGTCGGAGTTGAACAGGAACCAGCCATCATGGGAGGCGCAGATCTGGAGGATGAGCAGTAGACCCAATCGAGTCATAGTAGGTGCATCCCTCCTCAAAGTGAGAAGGTCCGGGTCTCTGTCTCCTCGGCACACGATGCGTGCCTTGTGTTTCACTACCATCCAAGGGTAGGCAGACCCTTGAATCCAAGATCCGAGCTGGATCTGTGTGGTCCTCCACATACTTGGAGGCTTCCAAGCTGATGACCTCCACCGCCTGGTACTTGGTCCAGGTGTCCCACTCCTTCTGCAGGGCGTCGGCGTAGCCTTGCCGTTCTTCTTCAGGAATGAGCCGCCAGGGGATCTCCTTCTCAAGGGCTTTCTGCTGCTTGCGAGTTTGTGCGACCCAGCGCACGGCGTCATTGCCCTTGACTTGCAACCTCATGCGAACGCCCCAGAGTGCTCCACGTGGTTCGGAGTAGAGCTCGGTGTCATAGACCGGAAGGCGCTCATTGGCAGGGTAGTGGTTGTCCTCTGGTTCATCTGGTTCTTCCAGGCGTGCTTTCTTCTCAACAGGTTCTGCGACTTCGGGTGGAGGTAGTGCCATCTCCTCATCGAAGTGCGGGTCATCGATCGGGATCGCCTCTGGTAGAGGTTCAGGACGTCGAAGTAGTCCATGTATGGGTGTTCCAGGTGCACGGTCTTCTCGCATCGAAGGATGTGGATGTGTGGTGTTGGTGCCAACTGAAGGTGCCGAAGGTGAACTGTTCTCATGTGCTGGTAGTTCATCAGGTCGTTGTCCATCGCCTTCTGGCGGTAGGCTTGGTGTGTACTCCTCGACACCCAAGTCATCAGCGTCGGCCTCGAAGACGGGCACGTGGATCTCCTCATTCTCATCGGGCACAACTTCATCGGGTGGTTCTCCGTCTCTGCCGTTGTGGAACTCGTCCGGGAAGTCGTCCAAGAGGTTCTGAAGGGCCTCCTCGTCGATCTTCCATCGCTCTGTGCCATAGGTCGGCCTGAGCTGCTCTTTAGAGACAAGGATGAGCTTGCCACCTGATGCCACCCAGTAGTTGGATTGTGCCTCGTCGCCTTTGTGTGGTCCGACAATGGTGCCTCGAAACCACCCAGGCTGCAGGATCTTGCCTTTCTTCTTCTTGACCTGCCGCCAAAAGGCAACTAGTTCTCCAGGTTCATAGGTCAGACGTGAAGGACGACCTTGCCAATCTCAGCTGCTCGTCCTGCTCCATGCCTTGCAAGACTTCCAGTTGACCGTCAGGTCCAAGGAGAGCTTCTGGTACCCGGGGATTGCGACCGAATACCCATTGACTTGCGGAGGCTCCACAAGCTCTGACCTTGTCGTTCATGGCTGAGCCCACCAAAGTTCCAAGTAGTTGCATGCTGCTGTCGCCTGCCAACTGCTTCTCATCAATGATCTTGTTGACGGTGTAGCGGAAGGCACGATTATAGGCCTCCACCTCGCCAGCCTGCCAGTGAGCCTCAGCCGGCACATAGTCCAGTTCCACCCCATGAGCTTGGAGTGTCTGAGCGAAGGCTCCTTGGAAAGCTCCGTCTTGATCCGCCCAAATGGATCTTGGCAAGCCAGCCCAACTAGCCCAGACCTTGTTGAAATTGTCCAGGACGTCCTCGGGGTTTCGGCTTGGGATCCAACAAAAGACATAGAAGCCGCCTGCAGGGTCCAAAACATGCAAGTAGGTGTGCTTGACCTCGTCCACGTCGTGCAAGAAGACCACGTCGAGGCACACCTTGTCGTTGAAGCTGCCCACGGCCTTCAAACTAGTAGGTCGCGGTGGCAATGGTCTCTTGGTCCTCTCGCAAGAAGCACATCTCAGTCTCCTTGCCAGTGCCACTGCTTCCGGGTCGATCTTGCCATGTTGAGCTAGGGCTCTCACGAAGTCCTCAGTTCTGGGGTGTCCCAGGTTGCGGTGCATTCTCACCAATGAAGGTGCCAAGCGTCGTTGTTCATGTCGTAGTGGAGGGCCAATGAACCAACATTCACCGGAGGCATAGTCTTGCCTCACAAGCCCTTGCTCGGCCATGCCTTGCTCAACATGCTCATCCAGTGGGTCTTCAACAACTTCTCCTTCTCGAAGAGGAGGTGGTTCTGGTTGAACACGTGCAGGTACGGGTTCATGAGGTTCACCTGGTGCGTGGCCGTGGATGAAGATAGCCACTCGCACTGGTGTGATGAAGCGCTCTCTCGGAGCTTGTGCAGTTGGAAGGTGTTCCGTCTCAATCAACACCTCATTGTCGTTCAGAAGCAACACGGAGCAACGATGTGTGTTCTCCAGTCCTGGTCTCACTCTCTTGGCCTTCGGCAAGTGGGCGATCTGGATGTTGAGGATCTGCCAAGGAACCAAGGGGATGACCTTCTGGTAGAGGTCGGAGGTGATGTCCAGGAAGCAACTGGCTTGAACACGTCGAGCCAAAATCTCTTCAGCTTGGGCGAGCAAAGGCCGCCACTCTTCCACCGTGCGGTTGACGTCGACGTAGTTGACATGTCGGGTCTCCATGACCTGCCAGTCGTAGTGCGTGCCAAAGTCTTCGCGCTGCACCACTTCCAGGTAGGCCTTGATGATGGTGTCGCCAACGTCAGGCGGGTAGCAAGCTGAGAGGGCAGTGTTCTTGCCTTCAACCTTCTCATGCTGGCGGTCGCCGGTGCACTGCTTGTTGAGGTAGTACACAAAGGTCTCATCGGTGGCCATCCAGCGAACACGTTTAAGAAGAGGGAGCCCGTGTTGCCCAACCATGCCAAAACGACACATGCAACTCGTTGTCTCCCAGTACTTCTGCCTCAGCTCTTGGAACTCAGGTTCCTGCCAGGAGTCGGCAGTAGCAGGGTTCTCCACCAAAGCGTGTCCGCCTCGGCTGCGTTGTGAATCGAAGACCTGCTTGACCAATCTGACGAAGGGCCTGTCTTCCTCCTGTAGCTGGTCGAGTTCAAAGGGATAGTCCCGGTAGTTGACATTCCGCTGGAGGATTGACCAAGGTGTGCATGGCATCTCGACAATGGCGAGTCGTGGGTTCCATTGGCGCAGCTTTTGGAGCAACCATCTCCTCATAATCCTGCGTCTCAAGTTGATGCCGTAGCGGATGTCAATGGGCTGAAGTACTCGAAGGTTCCAGCCTTGGACTGCTCTGATGCTGATCATGGAGGCGCCGCCAAAGATCTCGATGAGATCATATCCGAACTTCCGTCGGGGCCAAGTGCTCCGACTGACCTTCTGGGCGACAAGCTCTCGAGCAGTTCGGCTGTTCTGTAGCGCGCGTCTTGCGCTGCGCTTCAATCTCTTCTTGGTGCCAGGTCGAAGTGGAGCTGGATCAGGTAGAGGATCTAGTCGTCCGTCTCCATCCCCGCAAACTCCCAGTCCGAGCCGTTCTGCTGGCGGAATTCGGCCTGGTCCGAAGATGTCATCCTCGAAGAGTGTCTCGAAGCTTGGCCCGCGGACCTGCTGTGCTGCTGGGTCTGTGTAGCAGAAGGCGGTCGCGATGAGAGCGAGTAGCACTCTCCCAAGCTGGTGCAGCACTCCGTTGTGTCCCGCTGCACTCCTTGTGCTTGTGGATGCACTTTTCCGCCTGGTCGATCCCTCACCCCGTGCGTGATGCCGTAGACGATGACTTCCTCGTGGGTGATCGGGATCGTGTAGTTGTCCGGCAGGGCCTTCATCACCAGTCCGCACTGAATGCACTCCCTGAAACGTCCGTGTGCATTCCCGATCCGACGTGCTGCCTCCACGTCGTGTGGGCATAGCTTGACTTTCTCCGGGTAGGGTGCCTTGATCGCCTTGGCCGTCTGGCCCGGAGCTGCCGTCGTCGAAGGTGGCAAAGTCGATGGGAGCTGGAGGAACTGTTCCTGAGCGATCATGGCCTCCATGTAGCCCATCAATGCTGGTGCCCTGTGCTTGAACTCGCGGACCATGATATTGGTGATGTGATGCCTCATGAGCATGCTCCACAGCATGTCCATCTTCGTGACAAGGCGTGCCCACAGCTCCAAGCATTCCGCCCGGCTGCGCTTGAACTTCTTGCTGGATGACCTTGTCGAGGCTGCTGGGGGCATGAGGCAAAGAACGAATTGAAGGAGCTTGGAGTCTCGATCCAAATTGCCCTTCAGGAATACGAAAGGAATCCTTGTGGATCGTGCTCTCGTGCTCGAAAATCGGTGGACGGCTGTTGAAATCAAACTGCAAAATCTTCTTGTTGTGACGGGGCTTCAAACTGTTGGGAGCGACATGCAACTCGGCACCGTCATCAAACTTGACTGCAGTTCCGGCTGTGGTGACAGGGATCTTGATCTTGTGGGGGTCAAACCCTTGCAAGAAAAAGTATGTCTTGCCAACCCAACACTCCAATGAAGGTGGACACGAAGCATCCGGTGGGGTTGGCCAAGTATCCCAAATGTACTCCCTCGGCTTCGAACTGGCAACGATGGTCAATCTCGTGGGCTGGAGGTTTTGAGTCCCGGGCCCACTGTCCAGTTCTTCCGGGTCGAAAAGGTGTCGCCGAGGCCTCCGATGGTGCCGGACAACAGCTCCACAAGTGGTCATGTACTCCCAGTAGTCATTGGGAAGGGTGCACGGTCCCCGTGAATGCACCCCAGGGTTCAAAACATCATCATTGGGCTCGTACACATAGTTGTGGTCCATGACTATCTGGGACATGTTGAGGTCCATCTTGTCAGACTGCATCACGCCCTTTTGCTGCTGCTCGGGGCGCAGGAAGTTGGTGTCGTTTGACACGTTGAAAATGGCTCCAGGGTACTGATCCAAAGTGGTCGAAAGACCTGGAGGCCATCCTGTACATGGATAGTCCTCGATGCAGATGACCATGTGGCCAGACACATCGATGTAGAGGGGCACTTCACAGCTGGCTGCTGGCAAGGAAAGCCGGTTGTTGCCTAGGTCGATCACGGCCTTCATCATCACCAACCAGTCTTGACCGGCCAGGAAGGGCACCCGATTGGAAGCTGCAGCGTCTTCCTGGATGACTGAGGTGCGCACGATCATCGGGCGTCCATCGATCCCCAACGGAACCGACAGCCTCATCGTTGATGTCTTTGGTGCACCAGGGCCAAAGCAGTACTGTTCGCACTCCTTGTCGGCCAGTGGCATGATGCCATATGCACCGAGTCGCTGAAGCACCTTTTCCAGGTAGACGGAGCCGATCACCGTGTTCTCGCAGGCGGTGTCAATCGTCAGGTAGATCTTGTCAGGATCCACTGTCGGTGGCCTTCGGGTCAAAGACATAGCGCTCCTCGTTGAAGTGGTGTCGAAGTCCAGGCGGCGCAGCGTCAAGACATCTCGCTTCCGCCTCAACTCATCGAGATTGGGTCCAGGTTGAGGCTCTTTCAAAAGGTCCCAAACGGACTTCCCATCTCCCAAGGCGCCTGAGGTAGTAGACGGTGAGCTAGCAGCATGGGTCCGGATCGCTGCGTATGCCTCACTGCCGGAGAAGGTGGTCCCGGCTGGGCGGTTGGTCACTCGTGTCCAGGAACTCGTCGGAGAACAGGCTGTCCTTGGAGTCGTGCTCGGTCTCGATCTGGGTCTTGGCGTTCTGCTCCACATAGATGTTCCGCACCTGCTTGACTTGTTTGGGCGCCGCCGTCTTGGGACTTGAGGTCTTGAGGCCAATCGAAGATGATGGCATAGCCTTGCGCTTGAGCTCCCGGATTTCTGCGAGGGTCTCCGGGTCGTTGGCTGCCTCTTCATCTGTCTGTGGCTTGAGAGGTCTGCTGGCTGCATGCGATGAGCGAGAGGCCTCCGGAACATAGCTCTGCGCTTCCTCCTTCCAGAAGTGCCAGAAGTCCCAGTCGGCATCATCCCACTCCCATTCGCGTTCATCTCGGCCTTCATAGTCCTGCCACTCAGCCTCATCAGGTTCGTCTTGGCGGTACTCGGTGTGGTGCGTGAGGTTGGACTTCCGGTTGGGGCATTCGTCCTTCCAGTGGCCAACGGCGCCGCATTCAGCACATGCGGTCTTGGCCTTCAGCTCCTGCAAGGAAAGGCCGCCTCGGGCTCGGTTCTTGCCTGAGGACTTACCGCCCTTGCCCTTTCCTTTCTTCCCACCACGGCCTGCTCCTCGATCTCCGCCCTTGCCTTTGCCCTTGCCGCGGACGTAGTAGCCGCGAGCTTGGACAGCTTTGGCCAACTTCTGTCTGTTCTCTCGATGGGTGTTGAAGCAACCCACCAAGTCACGTGCAAGCTGCTCCGGGATGAAGGTGTCATCACGGATGTCGGCAAAGGTCTGTTCGGCGAGCATCTCAATGGGGTCATTGTCACAAAGCCACTCGTCCCATGAGATGGAGGTGTCCTGCAGGTCGGGGATGGTCCAGTCTGACGATGTCCATTGGGAGGAATGTTGTACCTCGTGTGCTGCTCTTCCTCGGTAGCCAGTTCCCTTAGAGGACGAGGGGCTGACCTTGACCATGGTGTTGGGGTAGAGCACGTCGATGGCATTCTTGATCTTGGCCCAATCATAGTTGCCACCAGTGCGCAACAGGAAGCTGGCTTGCCTCTCGTAGCTGGCATTGGTGTGCTGGAAGAAGACGTGGATCATCACCGCATCGGGAAGGTCCAAACCAGCTTCACGGCATTGTCTTGCCGCTTTGTCCAAATGCTCAGCCACTTCACGCATGGTGAGGTTCTTGTCGGCGGCCAGCTGGAGGTTGAAGAAGTTCTTCATGGCGGTGCCCATCTTGTGCATGGGGGTCTCGTCGTACTTGTCCCTCAACACTCGAAGGAGCACCTTCCAGCCGTCTGGAGCGCCAAAGGTCCGAGCAGGGACCTCCTCCAGGAAGTCAGCCGCTTCACCTTCAAGGGCTGCGTGAAGGCGTAGGCCAATCTCTCCATGGTCGATGATCTTCTCAGCCAGGGCCACGTAGCTGTCCACCTTGTTGACATACTTCTTGAAGCACCGTGGATCAGCTCTTCTGTCGCCATTGAACGATGGCGCAGTGGGCAAATTGCCTCGTGGCTTCTTCTGAGCCGAGCTGCTGTCTTTGCTCGGGCTCTTGCTATCTCTGCTGTCGCGGTCTCGGCCGGAGAGAGCTCGGGCATGGGAAGCCTCGCTGCCAGCCGAAGAGCCGCTTCTTGGACCATGCTTTCCATGGCTTTTCGTCGGTGTCCTCTGGGGTGAAGGCGAAGAGGTCGGCAAAGGTGAGGTCGGTGTAGGTTCCACCTGCTGCTCTTCATCGGCCAAGAACTCCTCTATGTCAGGGATCTGGTTGGCCTCTTCTTCTTCGCCTTCCGTCGCATCCTCGAGCTCCTCCTCCGTCTCGTTGGATTCCATGGCGACCGGGATGGCGTCACGAGTGGATCAAAAGATTGTCGCTACCAATGCAAACAGAGGGCTTCACACCTTCTAGGTTATCAACCAAGGAGCCTGGTTCACAAGGCTTACAAACAAAGAGGGTCCAGGGTTCACACTGTTTCTCACGCGCCGACATGCGCGTGCGCGCTCAAGGGCCCTTACGGCCGCGGGAACAAAGGATGCAATCATCCACGAACGAAAGAAATCTTGCAGTAACAAGAAGCTACTAGAAACAAGTGCCTCGCTAGTAGTAACAGG